TGGGCGGAGGGATGCGGCGAGATACGATTCGCGAGTGTCACGGTCGCACGTCGGTCGAAGGCATCTTTCTTTCCGCTGTCGCTTTCTGTACGCTGATTTGTTGAGACAAAATAATTAATTTCTCAAAAACTATTGCGAATATCGCAAAACGGCACAGGACTTTCTTGCTCACCTCAATCCGTTCTACGTTCTCACCAAGGGTCATCATGGGACTTCGGGACACCCTGTATACTTATATACTACACATAACTTATACTACACGTATATAGACAATTTTACATACTATATATATACTATATATATATATATATATATATTGCGACGACTTTTATTATCGATAGTAGCGGACAGTCGTCTGTCCGCCTCGTCGACAAACTACCGCAGTCCCCGGATCTCGTCTCAGACTAGCTAATTCCAGTTGGGCGCCAGGTGCGGTAAGGCCGCACCTCCTCACCAACAATTATTCGCCAAAATCTCTAAATGATCGTCCGTCTTTGATATTGCGGGAACGGAACGGGATCTCTCTTTTGATTTCAGTCGGAGTAGGGATGGGTTTATTCGATGTAGGTGGAAGCCGAGGAAAAGAAGGCCATCGTACGTTCGGTAGAGATCTTTATTATATCGATACATGCACTGTCAGTGCCCTATTCAATACCTCGCTCGCGTCGATACGTTCGCCCGCTACATTAGTCCCGATTAGGAGCTCTCATATAGTTTCGCGCGACCACGCTGCATGCGGTATGCTCTGGACGACAATTTCACGACAAATGACAAAAATTACAAACGAATGGGAGGTCTTACAATCGGTCGGACTCCTCCTCGCCTTCCCTCCGGGTCGGTCGCCTCGCCTCTCGCTGTTCGTCTCCGCTCAACTTCCGCAGCTCCGTGGCGGACTCGGGCTCGCTCTGGGACGTAGGTCGATCACTTGCGACTGAGATCTCCCACGAAATGGATTCGCCCTCGGTACACCACGCCACGAGAATACGGCACACAGGCAATCGGTATCGTCTCGGTCAGTTCCCAATGCGATAATTTCGAAAGAGCTCGAGAGTCACGGTAATCGGTAGCGGATCGCGTTAACTCGCTAATCGATCGCGGGCAAGTCTCTCTGATCCCGCATTGTTCTCGCTTTTTCTCTTCTCGGCGAGCCTTCCTCTCTCTCTCTTTCTCTCTATCTCTCTCTTGTCTCGCCGGGATCTCCGTGTTT